TTTTCTTGGTTAAGCTGGAAGAGCTAAAATTTGTTAAGTGCTTATATGTGCCCAGAACCGATCCAAGCCCTTTTCACATTTCGTCCTGTTGTCATTTCATCCTGACAACAACCCTATGAGGCCGATACCATTACTTTCTTCATTTTATAGTCTCATCATTCTTTCTACTCTCCCCGAGTCTGGGACTTAGGCCTCAGGTACCATTCTTGGTCATGAGATCCCATGGGGCTGTTTTTTTTGTTTTTCACTTTCTTTTTCTGATTTCTAATAGCATTAATGTTCTTCTTTTTCACTGAAATTGAATCAGAAAATGGAGGTCTCTTAGGCTCCCCAATAGCCTGGTCACACATGGCTATCAGAGTAGGGGTACCACCTCATTCAGTAGATAAACCAAGTCACTTTGGAGAGTGAAAAGAGGCGTCACTATTAATAATTAGGCTGAGACAATAGGCGCTGAGACTGGCCCTGAAAACCAGGACTCAGTGACTTATGGGAGTCTCTTGGGGAAATTCCTGTAAGAGCTGCAGATTCTCTGTCACCATGATGGGATGGCTTTCTTTTACAGCAGAAACAAGTGAAAATAGCTGACTGCCACTATTGTCTATTGTTCTAAGCGTGGACATGCAAGAAACTGTGTGTCCCTTCCCAGAAGACAGAATACATTAAGTGACAAAGGAAGTGAACTTGCAATGTTTGTCAATGTCGCTGTGAGGAGTTAGTTCTTCCTGGTGTCTAGAAATTGCATTAGTTTTCTCTCTGATGATTCTACCAAAGAAGAGAATGACTTGATGACGTGAGAAAGTGGGGAGAGGATTTCCAGCACTGAACGTCCAGAGAGGGAGTCCAGTAGATATAACAGAATGTGGTCACTGGCCCACGATTTCTGCCCTGAAGAAAGTAGGAGAAAGGGAGTCTGGACGTCGCATGTCCTCTCTATGAAGCAGTCTCCAAGCACACCCATGACCAATGTCTGTGCAGGGTTGACAACTGTCTCCTTCCTCTGCCATGTCCACTCCTAGGACCGACTGAGCTGAAAGCTCAGGGACCTGGAATATGCGGACCACGGGGAATCCCGTCTTTCCCAGGAATGGAAGTTGTACGAGGAATCTCCGAGTGTTGCTCAGCATTGCTTTGGATAAGAACCAAAGGCACAGGGAAGTCCTTGACAGTTACCTTCACTAAAACTTTAATCTCATTGTGCTACATGAGTTGAAAGATGACCCGGACCCAGAAGAGGCATCACTCCTAATTTTGGCAGACGCAGATCGAACGCAATGATTCCCGAACACCAGCGTGGTCCTGGCCTGATTTGCTTCATCCCAGATCACCACTCCTCTTTCTAGTGTCCTACTTATAATTCTTCTAGTAACAAGTTGGAAAGAGTACTTTGTCCTCATTCTTCTCTGGTTTACTGGTTGAGCACAAGGCACCTCCTTCCTGGCTTTTATTTACCATATTCCAACATCTCGGCTCTTGAGATTTGCCTGCATCGGTCTTGGAGATGCTTCTCTAGCCTCTCCAGTGTACTGTTCACATCCCTCCTCTTCCAGCAAGTACTCCGCACAAATCTGACCGAATACTTCTTGGGCTGGATCTGTCTGACCTGTTCTCTACAGCAAAGAACTTTAAAATTTTCTTTATGGCTGATGGGGCAGAGATGGGGTGGGTGGGAGGACCATGGACTCCATCTCAAGGAAGCAGTTGCATTGCATGA